AAGGCAAATGCTCTTTTGCGAAATGTTACCAAGACAGAAAAATCCTAAACAGAGCCAACAACAGGAAACAGACTGGAAACAACTACCTGGCCAACTCCTTTGAGTTGGACGCTGGTATCTACGCTTCTGTGTGAGCCTTCATAGGATCCCACATAGCTCCTCTTCTCTCTTGCTTCTAGAAAGGCCTTTTCCAGTCTCTTGTTGGGCAATCAAAAGCTTTCAAGGTTGTTCATTCAGATACCTGCCAATGTTCATTAGAGCCGTTTAAAAAGTTAACAGTTGGGGCGCCTGGGTGGCGCAGTCGGTTAAGCGTCCGACTTCAGCCAGGTCACGATCTCGCGGTCCGTGAGTTCGAGCCCCGCATCAGGCTCTGGGCTGATGGCTCAGAGCCTGGAGCCTGTTTCCGATTCTGTGTCTCCCTCTCTCTCTGCCCCTCCCCCGTTCATGCTCTGTCTCTCTCTGTCCCAAAAATAAATAAACGTTGGAAAAAAAATGTTTAAAAAAAATAATAAAAAAAATAAAAAGTTAACAGTGGAGGGGCACCTGGGTGGCCCAGGTCATGATCTCATGGTTCATGGGTTTGGGCCCCGTGTCAGGCTCTGTGCTGACAGCATGGAGCCCGGAGCCTGCTTCAGATTCTTCTCTCTCTCTCTCTCTACCCCTCCCCCACTTACCCTCTGTCTCTGTCTCTCTCAAAAACAAATAAACAGGGGCGCCTGGGTGGCGCAGTCGGTTAAGCGTCCGACTTCAGCCAGGTCACGATCTCGCGGTCCGTGAGTTCGAGCCCCGCGTCGGGCTCTGGGCTGATGGCTCGGAGCCTGGAGCCTGTTTCCGATTCTGTGTCTCCCTCTCTCTCTGCCCCTCCCCCGTTCATGCTCTGTCTCTCTCTGTCCCAAAAATAAATAAACGTTGAAAAAAAAAATTAAAAAAAAAAAAAAAACAAATAAACATAAAAAAAAATTTTTTTTTAAGTTAACAGTGGAGCAGAGTCTCTATGTAGGTTTTCTTCTATCAGAATGAAATGACTGCCTTCCTCCCACCCTCACTTATGGCAGTTCAAGTTACCATATTTCATATTCTCACCCACCAATCTGTTCTGCTAGAAGTGGGCAGATAACGGCAGGAGGCTCCTCCTTTGCAGTCTTTTAACAATACTAACATACCACTGCCACCTTCATTTTTCTTATTTATTGCTTCAGAAGTGATGCTGCCCAGAGTGTAAACTCCAAGCAGAGTAATTGGTAAATGGTTCATGGCTGTGTTCATCTTTGAATTCATCGGTTGGATAAAAGACTCTATTTGTTTACTCATTAGATATCCAGGTGCTTGTTTTAGCTTCAAGGAGTTTCACAGCACATTTGGGAAGACAAGGGAGTAAGCAGATGATAGCAAGAGGCTGTGATAAGTGTTGTAGCAGAACTATCCACAGAGTAGAGAGGTTAAGAAAGCCTTTCTGAAGAGGGGAGTGGCTGGGCTGAACTGGGAAGCCATGCAGACAGAAGCTGTGCAATCAGTCTCTACAGAGGGAGCAGTCTACTCACTGAGACACGCAGGGGCACAGCCCATTCGGGGAGAAACGCACATGGCTAGGAAGTAGAATGGCAGGAAGGGACTGGCTAAAGATCATGTTGGAGGAAGAGGAAAAACCGTATGGAAGAACTTACAGATCTTTGGCTGGCATGGGGTGGGGGGGAGCGGTAGGGAGAGGGATGTCATGAAAGATTTTTTTAAATGACACTACGAGATTTTCAGTTGAGAAAGTTAACTCCAGAAAGAAGAATATCAAGTGGTGAATAACTCAAGGCTGGGACAAAAGGGAAGAGGCTATTAAAATAAGCCACACAAGAAATACTAAGGCTCTTGACTAAGGACCTAATGGTGAAGGTGGAGAGAAAGAGATGCATTTGAGGAATAATAATGAGATTTGTGGAAAAATCATACTGACCGATAAGATGTAGGGGTCAAAAATGAAGGAGTCACCAATGATTCATTCATATGTTTCCAACTTAAGCACCCAGGTAGATAGTGATACCACTCTCTGCCCCAAGGAATACGAAGAATTCAGGAAGAGTTTATTTGTTAGATGCACTGACTTGGAGGTTTCCATAGAACTAAGAGGAAATGCCCAATACACAATTAGATAGATAGCCCTTGAGTTCATAGAGTTACAAATTCAGGAGCCATTCGTTGAGGACGACGCCTGTTAGGATGAGCACTGGATGTTGTATGGAAACCAATTTGACAATAAATTATATTTAATATAAAAAAAATTCAGGAGCCATTAGCAAGCACATTGGTGAGAGCTAAAATCATGAGAGAAAAGAAGTTCATTGGAGGATCCTATGAAGAATGAGAACAGGGCGGGGAATCAAGACCGGACCGAACACCAGCAGACCGTAGCTTTAGCTAATAATGTCCACCCTTCTACATGAAAAATGCAGAACAAAGGAAAGTCTTATTCCTCCATATTCTCTGGATGGCTTTATTTACTGTTCTAAAGTTCATTTTGGGACTTGTGTTATTTCACGAACACTACATCTTCCAATCTGAATTGGTCTAAGGAGCTAAGTAAGAGTGGGGGTCAAATTAATTGATGCAAAAGGAGAAGTGCATTCCAAGAAGCTTGGTTCAGACTCTCTCCCTGTCCTGTATGTCTGCATCTTGGCTTCTATCTCTCCTCTCTGAGGCTGATTTTCTCCACAGAGCAGCAAGCAGTACCACACAACTCCCGAGACTCACCCCAAAGAACAAGTCAGACTCATTCTCACCGGCCCCAAGTTCAAAATGCCTGAGGAAATTCTCTGGCTGCCCAGCCAAGGCAACATGTCTATTCCCAAGCACACATTCTGCCCAGAAAGATGGTATCCCCTGAAGGGAAGGCAAAAGAATAGGCCTTCACCCCCTCGCTTAGAGCACAATCCTCCCTTTGTTACCTCGTTCCCCCCACCAGATCTGCCTGGATGCCTTATACATCAGGGAAGCTTCTCCTCTTTTAGAGCCTATTTCATGTTCATTCTGCTCAATCGTCCCTTAAAGATCTTATCGGCTCTCAGGCTGACAAGCTTCACTCCTCTACCCTTCCATAGACACCTTTGCTTCCAGGACCCCTCGTGAAATCAACCTGTCTTCTGCTCACCTAATGCAAACCAGATGAGATGCGGGGAGGTCAGAGTTTACGTAACACTGGATCAGCCAAAAGAGAGAACATTTGCCCTGCTGGTTTCACACTATGGCTTTGCAATCCTACCAAGCAGGAAGCTTGGTGAATTCAAAGAAAACAAATTTATCACTCCTTTGTGCTAATTCTGATTTTTAAAAACACATAAACACGCACAAATGTCTTTAGAGACATATGGCAATTTAAGACAGCAGGAAACCAAAGAACCTGACATTCTTGGAACAACAAATAAAAAGCTCCTTAAAAGTTAACAAGGCAAAGACGAATGTGGATTCTAACACGTGAAGTTAGTAAGTATTTTGTGATTTGGCTCTGCTGGAGGTTATTACACCGGAACAGAGCCAACATGGAAACTTAGTTTGAGCTACAATTCCCAGTGAAAGAAATCTCAGATTAGTCACCGTGTAATCTGGGTGTGGAGTATTTCTAATGGACCGCTAAGCAGATCGGTAATTAATTTTTGTTCTTTGAATGTAAGAAGAAATGAGACTGATGATGTGTCGGAAGACAGATTTGGAAAATATGGCTCTACCCAGGACCAAGATTCCATGTGAATACAACAAGTTCTAAAATGTATTAGTCATTTTTAGTTCACTAAATATTTGATAGCTATTTCTTTGTTATACATATTGAAAATTTCCCTCCCATCAATTACTATTTCCTATAATTTTTATTTTCTTGGCTATGTGGACTTTACTAGAGGAAACAAGATAAGCAAAGAGTTACGTTTTTATACTTTTTTATTTATAAATTAATAATAAATGAATTCATTAATAAATATTAATGTTAAATTGGTAGAAGATTGAATATTATAAAACAAATTATAAAAACATAATGCTTTACTTACTTTGTTAGTTAATTGTAATTTATTTATTAATAAACACTAATTTGGAAATCTGAATGTATACAATGGTTACAATTCATTTTCCTTACTTCAGTCCTGTTAAGTTGGAAACAGCTAAAAAGTTTTTTTTTTCAGTCCATACTACCACTTTTATTTCTTTTTTCAATTAATTTTTTAAAATTCAAGTTAGTTAACATACAGTGTAGTATCGGTTAAAGGAGTAGAATCCGGTGATTCATTACTTACATATAACACCCAGTTATATGTAAGTTATATAATATGTAATATTATATATTATGTATATAGTATACCTAATAGTATGTATATATTATGTATATATGTATATACATATATACATATATGCATATATAGTATGTATATATTATATATGTATATATATAATAGTATGTATATATTATGTATATATGTATGTACATATATACATATATGCATATATGCATATATAGTGTATATATATTATGTATATAGTATATATATGTAAGTTATATAACACCCAGTGCTCATCCCAACAAGTTAAAAGCTTTTATATTCCTTTTCAGTATAAGAAATCATATTTCACAGATATTACCACTAGGTGGCTCAAGTGGCTAAAATAACAGATGTGCAGGGGAAAGAAACCCAAATATTTAAAGATTTATATCTCTTTCTGCAGTTATATGCTTTATAGTTTAATTTTCTACCAATTTTTATACTATTTGTAGATTATCTCTGTAACGCTGCACACAGTGGGCAATAACTTTAACATAGGTCATCATCATGTATGCCATTTATATGAAGGAGAGAGAGGATTAGTGGACAAAATGAATGAGTTGTGTTACATTTTGTCACAAAAAATGTAATAATAAAATAAATTAAAATCTTATCAGCTGACTGAGAGCACAGCATTCAATGGGTATGAAGGGCTGACGTCTTGGGCTATCTTTCATTTTAATTTATCAAGGCATTTCTAGAGATTACCTTATTTTCTGGCAGTTGTGGTTCTCATTTATGTCTCTTCAAGGCAAACGATTTGCAGCCAGGGCTTGAGCTCTCTACAGTCCAGGGACCTTGAAATCAAACCATTTTTCCTTAATAGTTATTAAAATACAGGGCTCCAAATACTGCATCCATTATATCAGATACCTTGGGACCCCCTGCTCTTTCTGATACACAAAAAAGAGCAGAAAATGGTTACTTTTCCCCCAACTTTAATAAACATCTTATAATTCTGTTTGTTCAAGATACAGTGCCAGGAGGTCAAGAAAGAGGAGGTGGTCTACCAAGCTGGAAAGGAAAGTATTAAGCCTGTAGATTCTGCCAAAGAAGGGAAAACAGAACAGGGACCTTAGAATAGGAGGCCCTTATAAATTTCTTAACCAAGAAGAATCGGTATTTATTCTTTTTTTTTTTTTTA